CGCTTCATGTCGCATCTATGGATTGATACTACCTAGGATCGAGTGCAGAGACAAGCGAGCAAGGCACGGGCGAGGGCCTGCCATTGAGTTTTGAGCCGAAGTCGAGTCATGTGCCGAGGCTCGGGCAGAAGTGGGTAGAGATAAACCTGCGAGCCAAGGTCGGAGACAAGCGAAAGATGTCCGGGCGTCACCGGTCGTTGGATGGACGTTTCGTTCCGATAGTCCACAAGTCGCCGAATGAGGCGTGGGAAAACGGAATCTGACGCCACATATAAGCACGCTAAAGAGAACACCTGACCACCCCCGAAAGCATCCGCTATCGCCCTCTCATTCTCCTTTGACTTGTTCCACAACCAACCACCCAACGATCGTGCCGATGGTGCGCCAGACGACGTTGCAGGCTGCATAAAACGCTCAGCCTCACCTCTCTGGTTCCCCATAGGCCACCGCAAACCAGAAGCGAGAAATCCCAATCAGTGAAATCGGACCTCTCATCGGGGCCGACGTCCAAGCAGAAAAGGTACGATTTCTGGCTGAAAGCACGTCTGCGGCTCCCCTGACAAGCAAATCGTAAAGATTTTCGGCGCAGTGAAAGACGACGTGCTCAAGAAGGTGGGCAGTCCCCAGCTCCACTGAGGAACAAAGCGCTGATGGACCTGATTCTTTGCTAGATCTGGGACCTTCATCAGAAAGATGTCGTGTATAACTTGAATGAAGTATGGAAGCTGGAGAACATTGATGCATACGACCTCATCTCCTACCGCGTCGAGGAGGTACCCCATGGGATCAATTATTACGGAAAGGTCCGTTGCTTCTGGGGGGAAACCTGTTGCGCCACAAGCTAAACATCACTCGACATGTAGATTCAAATGACCAAGAAAGAAGACTGCGTACACGTCAGAGTCTTCCGAGCACAAGAGGGCAAGGGCCCCATCAAGGTGCGAACTGTCTGCGATCCCCTACGTCGGTCTCCGCGCTCACCGACTTATACACCAGTTCCATGCCATCCAGACTCGCCCTTCTTGGGACGGTGGGGCAGTGTTCACCCTCGAAGATCCACTACGGCGGTTCGAGTATTAACCCCCTTCAATTCAAATGTATCAAATGTAAACATGCAATTCCGGCCCCGTCTCGTGTACTAGTTCAACATTTCAATGTATTGTATTATTTGGTGGTCCCCTTTACTCGACTAACGTGTCAGGATAATCCTGAGTGATGATTGATGCGAATTTTTCCGCGTAGTCCTTGTGGACATGAACACAGACGTCTGCGTCGCTGACACCTTTCGAGGAGGTTGGGCCATCGGCGCGTGGATTTGCAGCGAAGATTCTAAATATCGACGCCATGAGCGATATAATACATTAGCGAGGGTTGAGATCAGATGACTGCGCACCTGAAATAGTTCATCGTTGACCACGCAGTGAAGAATCTTGCTTTGCCAGGGAAACCAAAATGAGCGTCATTCCAGTCCGTGCTGCGAGGCATTGTTAGCCGACTTGTGTTCGTTTCACCAATGCACATGAACTCGCTTCTCACCTATAATTACTGTTGATTGAAACCTCTCTTTCCTCCGGTCCAAAGAACTGGAACCTCCCCTCCTTTCCTGCGTTCGCACTCTTACCAAGTAAATAGCTCGCCCAGCACATCCACTTTTCCAGGAACTTGTGATCTCGAGCTTGGTTTACGGTCGTTCGCATAAACCTCGCGAGGGCGGAAACAGACGATGCAGTGGAAGGAGGCAGCGGATCGGAGTACATGACCATGATGACATTGCCTTGCGCCGATGGTGCGTTGAAGGTTGCAACTGTGGAGGGCTTGGAACTGGAGCCGCGGTACTAGAAGGGCGTCCTCAGCATAAGACGGTACCAGAAAGAGACGGCGATTTTAACACACGTTGAGGATTAGAAGGACCCTACGGAACGGCTCGTCTTGGCACTGATTAAGAACCTTGACCAAGTAAGCCGCCAGCGCGTCATGTAAGGTTATTTTCACTCCTGTGGTAGATGCGTCCTCCTCCTTCGCCAACTCGAACATCTTTTCTATGCTCTCGCCACTAATTCTCAACTGGACCTGATTGGTAATTGCATCTTGGGCTGCGTATTTCTGAAACAAAGGCGGCAGGTCGTAGTCTTTCGCGAGATGCGGCATGCGTGGTAAAAAGTTCTCCGTGAGGTCAGCATCTTCTGGTTCTCGAGAGAAGGGGGAGCGGAAGAAGTGACGGTAGAGGGAGGGAGCCAGAGGGAGGGCTGATTCGGGTGCATCGAGATCGACGTAGTACGCCGAGAGACTCCGAGTAAAATCCCACATAGACCAGGCATCACCTGTAAATCAGAGTGCTTGTCAGCTGGATTCGTTTAGTACACCTTAAACAGGCATACCGCAAGTGTGGCACCAGGTAATTGCAATGACAGTTCCAGTCTCCCAAATGGTCAGTTTAAACCCCAAAAGAGGGTCCGAAGCATCTCCAGGAACCAAAAATTTACCGCAATCTTCGGAGTTGAAGAATGGCTCAGTGAGATGGCTTGGTTGAATGGTAAATTCGTTCGGGAAAGGGTAAGACTTGGAGAGTTCGGACGCGTCGGGAGAGATCCTCGATACGAGGACTGGAATAGGAGAGTTGGTAAGGTTAATCTACAGTACAAAGTGAAGTGTTAATGACCAGAAGAAGACCTAGTGGGGATAGGAGAATGTGCTCACCTTCCATTCATCGCCCTCCTTAATTAATCGTCCCGCCGCATGCGGAAATCTCGCTAGGTTCTTTGACAAAGCAGCCTTAAACCGCTCAATGTCGATCTCACTTGGGATAACATGAAGGTTGTATACCTAGAATATGGAAGTGTCAGCCGCCCGACATGGAGCCTACGGAGAGGCAAGCGTCTGACGTAGTTTCTGAAGAGGTCTTGCCCAGGAAGCTTGATCGAGGTCTGGTCAGCCAATGCTGTTGGTTCACTGACAGGAACAAGAATACGGGTAGTGGACTGAGTTGTCATCGTGGGATGAGCGGGGAGGGGAGGCGATGGGAGCAGCTGTGGGCCGGTAGTGGAGTATAATATATTACGGCAATGATGCGCTGCGAGTCACCGGCTGCACTAAGCTCTCGGTGACACAGCGGCTCCGATCCTCTACTGCAGAAAAAAATGTAACCGGCAATGTTGTCGTGAGAACGGCACGGAAATACCCGAGAGCAATCCTGGGCGAATCGGCCACTCAGCTCGGGAAATCCCCCGATATGGACCGTTGCCCGCATTGCACTAATCATTCAGTGCTAGACAATTTACATAACACATGGCGATCAAGAATGAGTCCAGTTGGGCTTTCGCTTTTCAGTAAATGCAGCCATTCCTGGAAAGGAAGGATTGACGGATCATCGTGGTGAGCGAGACCGAATGCGGAACGAGAGCAGGCATTTCACACTTACCTTCTTGCTTGTCTTTCGTAGAGAATAGACCAAAGAATAGTCTTCGCTCAAAGCGGACGCCTTCGGTCAAGGGGAGTTCGGATGCTGGAGAAGCAGGCGTTTCGAAATTTAGTAATCATCAAGCAGAGGTGTTGATATTCTGGTTTCGGCTCACCGGCGTTGATCATTTCTTTCGTGGCCTGAACGGCGATCTGACCCTTGCTTGCAATCTTCTGAGCAAGGTCAACTGCTTCCTTGACCACTTGACCTTCTCCCTCTCCCACAATGCGGTTGACAAGACCCCACTGTTCTGCCTCCTTCGCGCTGAAGTTCCTTCCAGTCAACATCAACTCCATAGCGCGATACTTGCCAACAATGTGAGTCAGTCGCTGACTGCCTCCACCACCGGGAGAAACTCCCAGGTTGATCTCAGGCTGACCAAACACGGCGGTCGGAGAAGCGAGGATCATGTCGCACATCATGGCTAGTTCGCAACCTCCGCCAAGCTAAGCCCAGGAAGCTCACGGTGAGAAACGCCGGGACAGACAACGTGAAATCCAAGACATACCGCATATCCACTGACGGCCGCGATGACGGGCTTCCGGATCTTTGTGATGACGGACCACTCCGCGAAGAGATCACCGCTGTAAGCCCCGGCAACTGCACCAAAATCTGATATTCAGTCCGAAATATGGTATAAATATATCACAACCAAGACGTACAATCCTTCTCCTTGAGTTCCTTAATGTCCGCTCCAGCTGTAAGGTGGACGGAACGCCATTATTTCGAGTTGAACAACAACACAGGCGTTGGACGAGCTCACCAGCAAATGCCTTGTCAGAGCCAGTAATCACAATAGCACCAATCTCCTTTTCGGCATCAGCTTCCAACAGTGCTGCATTCAAATCCTTGAAGAGCGGCGTGCTGAGGGCATTGAGAGCTTTTGGCCTGTTGAGTGTCAAGAGAGCAACGGACGGGACCGGTCGCGATGCAATGACATTTTGATACTCCTTGGTAGAGAAGAGCCTTCTTGACGCCTTGGTAAATGCGTATGCGGTTCGTGGTCTGAGGAGGATTGAGCTCATGGTTGCAGCAGGTCGTTTGAGAAACTGGGGGAAGTGATGAGAAACGAAAAGCATGTGACGCGGATCTCCGCCGGCTATTTTGACATAAGCAGCTTTGCTTCGCACGACCGTCACCACCACTTGATCGTGGGTTCAAGCCCCGGAGTGGGTAGTTGGTTAACTCTCTTGTTACAGATTCGTGGGCTCAAGCCCCCCGCTAGGTACTTGGTTAACAACTCGATAGAAGCTTATCTCTCGTCAGGCCATCGATCAATATCATCAAATCAGGGACAAGGCGCCTCGTGATGTGATGCATTAGTACGCTTTCTTTGGGCTCTGGATGCCCAAGATCGAGAGTGCGCTCCGATAATGCGCTTATTGTCGAACCTGGGTCGTACATGGGCGGAAAGGGGAGGACTCTGTAGCAAGAGAGTTAACCAACCCCACCGTGGGGCCTGAAACCACGACCTGCTACAAAAGAGTTTACTAACTACTTATTATGCGGCTTAAACGCACGACATGCAAAAAGAGTTAACCAATACCCACCGTGGGGCTTGAACCCACGACCTTCAGCTACTGGATCACGGGTTCAAGCCCCGGCCGGAAACTGACGATCTACCACTGATCTAGGAGGGCTTCCTTACAGCAAATTTGCCGCACAGAAGTAGGAACGTTAAATGGCTCATTGGTTCCAATTGCCCCAAAGCGTTAGAGGATACATACAAGAAACAAAATACTATGTAACTAATAACACATAATATACCATAAATACAAGGAAATTTTATCGACCCTTCTCTTTCTCGACGTCAGACGAATCGCGAGATGAATCTGACGGTCGTAATCGAGGGGGTTCCGGCAAATCACGCAGCTGTGAACCGTCAAAGGACAGTACTCGCACTGTCCTCGATGTAGCAGTTTTAGGCTGTATCCAGGGGCCATCGGGGGTCTCTTCGGTCGTTGCGACCACATCGACCCGAGGTTTCGTGTCGTGCATTTCAATTTCCTCCGTGTCCGAAAAATCCGTCATTTCGCCTTTGAATGGCGCAGACACAACCACTGTTGGTCGCCGAACGGTGTGCTGCGCGAAATCTCGTTCAATATCCCATGCATCTGTTCCGTAACCGGTTGGAGCTCGTCCTGATATTGATCGACCGGCTTGCATCGAGGTGAACGTATTTCCTGGATTGGACAAGTGAGTTCTTGAGGTGAGGTGCTTTTTCCTCAAGTGCCAAAACTCCAAGACGTCTCGTTGCGAGCCAAAGACTACAAAGACTGCGATGGACACTGGACGAGTGAGGCCTAATCAGCACCGCGTCCGCTGTTCCTCCAGAAACTGCAACACTCACTTCCTGCCACGAGAAGGTCGGGAGCAGCCTGAGACCACGCGGAGACTGTCGCAACGATGGCCAATCTAAACAAGGCCGTCCGTCAATTTGATGGAAGCTGGAGGCCGAGTGCAGTGCACTTACACCAGAGCAAGGACAACGATGATGCTAAAGGTGGAAATTCGAATAAAGAGAGGCATGTCGACTTGCCCCACTTCTTGCTGACCGAACCTCTTGGACCGGCGGTATCGACCATAAACAATAAGAAGGGTCAAAACTGCAGAAAGCGTGTTATGAGTACGGCTGGGGACAAGGTGCGAGCGACCCACTCACATTGGAAGATACAAGCCATGAGCAGAAAAATGGCTGCAGCGACGCCAGATATAATGGACGGTATTTGGTTGTCGCTCGCGCAGTACTGAGGAAATCGTCGAACGTTGTCTCCAACAATCAGGCCGGAAGCCAAGGCAACGGCAATCCATACCAACATAGGGATCGCCACAAACTACGCAGTTCCGATGGCATTGTCAGAATGGCAGATGAAAAGATTTCCTGGTCACGTACCAAAGCGGAGAGCCATGCTGAGGCTTGCATGAGGAGGGACTTGGACTTGTCGACCGAAAACGTGAGGTACCACACGCGTGCGACTACGGTCATTGCCGCTGCAGATAAAGCGGGAGGGGCGCCGTATACAACGGCCGACTGGAATTTGCAGAGACGAGGTTCTATTTTTTGCGAGTCGGCGTTACCAGTGAACAGCCTGTGACCTATCCTCAGCGACACTGAAACGGACAACGAATAGGCAAGTAAAACTCACAAGAGACATGATACAACAGACTGAATGACCCAGAGGATGAGGTTGTTTGGGATTGTAACGTGCCGTGAAGGGCCGCTTGGGTGGGCGAAAGTGATAGTCAAGATTGAAAGCTGTTCATAGCAGACGGACGTGACCGTCAAATGTCATCGGGAACGGGGACAGAAAACCCGTTAGCCCCTCATCAAGTTGGCGTAGAGGAAGGGAAGGGCGTACCAGAGCGAGCCCTGTCAATTGCAGCACATAATACACAATTGTTGTTGGCGCGAGCATCTTGTCGCGCGGGGACCAGCTTGAGCCTACCCGCCGGCTTTTGCTGCTATTTTACACCAGCCACCTGATGGACGCGAGTGGTCCTTTCGACAAGGGGGCTCCAAGTCGATCTCAAAGCTTTGGACTTCAACCAGTGAAGGGTTTGGGGGGGGAAGCGGCGGGAACGAAAAGGATCGTTCCACTCGATGCATATAGCTCCATTTGCGTTGCCGACGCGAGAATTCAATCGGGAGATGGCCTAGAAATTTGAATGGGTTCCGAGAGCAGGGCTGCGCATGAGACCGTTGAAGGGTGGGGACCAAGTCTCGGGGAAACGACGGGTGAGAACTTCTAGACGCGGCTTCACGCCTAAATCCTCTGTCTCGTGTCCAATGACAGCGAGCAACACCCCTTGGCCTGCAACCAACACGGCCCCAACCATCGTTTCCCCGACTTACGCACTCGGCATACTACCCGCTGCCGAATAAAACCTTTTCGTGCTCTCTAATACGTTACCCCAGAACACAGCAAGTCTCTTGGGGCGTTAGTCGCATTCATCCTCGCAGGCAACCATTCATACAAAGATAACTGAGAGGGGATAATATAAAAAACAAACTTTGAACGAAAATGAATAGATGGCTTGCTCAGCCTTCCGACGAGACCCTTGGTGCACGTTGCACCGAGACATGTCAAGCTTATTCCTTTCTGTACGGCTTCACTCGCAAGGGCAATTGAGAACCCTTCGATCGCTGGCCGGCGACGTAGGGTCTCGTCAGAACGCTAAACGATTATGAGTGAGTGAAAATCGTGGTGCAAACGACGCTTCAGGAATTCGAACGTACAGGCTGATCTTCCAGAACTTGAGATCAGGCGGAACTTCGAAAGTAAAGGCCGCCAGAAGGACGAACAAGAACGTCTTCATTCTGCGAAGCCGACAACCCTTGTTGAGCACTCACTTTCAGGGCAAACCGGCGGTTAGGAGAAACTCACTCGATGATGGAAAACTTCTGGCCGATACACGACTAAGTTGATAACAGAGGCCTCAGCAATCGTAACAGGTTTGCGCTGCAAGGTTTCGCGACCACTTACTCTGGGACCCGACGAAAACGTCAGGATATTTTGCCACAGTCCGGGTTGTTCCTTGACGAGTTCAGGGAGCTTGTCCCATCTTTCAGGTCTAGCAACGGCCGCCGGAAAAGCGGCATTAGTTCGAACTGCTCCAACCCTGCATCGAAAATAGTACTTGCCTGAACTCCCAAGCATCTTCTCCCCACACAGTCTTATCCAAGTTGAATCCTTCCATCGGAACATGCACAAACTGGCCCTTGGCAATCTTGACCCCATAAGTCTCGGTGCCATCTCCGAGTTTCACGGGATATTTGGTAGGTATCACGTCGTCCTGCAAGGCCACCCGGATGGATGAGTGGACAGGAGGAATGAGGCGCAGGGATTCCTTGGTGACTTTGTCGAGGAAAGGGAGGTTATCGATGACGCTGAAGTCTAAAGAATAATCGGGCTCTTCGTCGCCATCAGGAGGGGTGTATACGGAGAGGATTTCATCTCGCAGCTGCGTTTGGTACTGGGGCTTCTGGCAGAGTAAGAGGAAGGTCCACGCGAGTGCCAGAGAGGTGGTGTCGCTTCCAGCGAAGAAGAAAGTGTTGATCTGGTCCATAATGTCCTCATCGGTAATCTGCTGCTCGGGGTTCGTATTGCTGAGATTCGATTTGACTGCCAGATGGAAATCGTAAGCTAAAAGAAACTTGATCCTAGTGGGAAACACATACTCAGGAGGCCCAGCATAGACTTGCTGTTCTTGTCATCAACTGTGCCTTCCATGATTTTTCGCTTCGCTTCCTGCACTAGTTGGTTTCCTACACCATAGATAATCTTATGGCTCTCCTTAACCACGCGGGTAGCGTCGGTGGGCTGCGGATGATGTATTCTTCAGCATACATGGTCCATAATTGACTGGGGCTCGTGCGGCTCACCCAGATCGTGTCAAGCCAAGGGTACCAGATTGACCCAAGCGCGCGTAGATTTTGTCCTTGGTTAACGGCGAGGTCAAACATTTCTTTGTAGGCCAAGTAGACTGCGTTATCCTCGTTCTCGATAGCGTTGAAAACGTAGTTGAAACCTGTAAGCCCGATCACATCAAAGGTGGCCCGACTTATCCAGTGGACCAGGTCAAGTGTCTCCGCCGGTTCGGATCCAGCGATGAGACCCAGCCATCGGCGGCGTAACTTCAAAATAGATAAGTCTTAGTGAGGCAATCAATATTTAAGACAAAGAGCAAAGGGTGCGTACTTGATGCGCCTTCTGGAGGAAAATCGGAGAGTACGCCTTCATGTTGCTAAGCGAGAATGCTGGGTTCATAACCTTTCGCTAAAAAGATCACAATAAGCACGAAGAGAGTTATCCTTTTGATTTTTATTATTACCTGCTTCTTGTGGTGCATTCCTGGATGCAAACAGCGCCATCAGTCCACAACCTCTGGCGGACCCCACATGTCGAAGGGGAAAATATGAACCTACCTTCGGATGACAATAACCCATTCCCAATTAGGTTGCTAATCATCCTTTGGGATTGCCATGGCTTCTCATATATCTGGTTATTATTAAGAATATAATTCATCGCTCTTGGGTCAAGTGTCAGAACTCGCTGGTCGAACTGTGGAATGCCCAAACCGGGTCAGCACCATTGAGCGTCAATTCACCTCAGGTTCAAGGGACTTACGTAGCCAAAGCCATAGACGCGAAAGGTCTTCCCGTACGTATTGACGCATTGATCGTGCAGTTTGAGGGATTGGCTTGGGCTGGGGACCATTACAGCGTCGTGAGCGGTCTCCATCGGTCTGCGAGAGGACCTCGGGGATGTGCTCACTTCATTACTGCGTTCAGATTGGACACGAAGGGCCACGTCCCCTGGGGACGTGGACCTGGAAGGTTCCAAAGCGGTGACCGCCAAGGTTCGATAACCAGTAACTTCAACACTGGCCAAACGACGAAGTAGAGGCCTCCAGCTACGAGAGCTGTCTGAATCGCTGCACTGAATGATAGATCGTCGAGCATGCCGAGCTACACCGGAGGAAGAGTAGAGACGGTGGCAGAATGTGATAGAGAGGGAGGCGGGGTCAAAGCGGGTTTATATGTCCTGAGCTTGTTGAGTAAGTGGATGTGTAGCCTTTGTGCTTCTTCCTGCACCTGCCAGCGCCGCCCCCTTTCTGATAATTCTGGAAATGAACCTTC